AAACCATAAATCACATGGTATCATTTCTGCTCCCTGAGTGAACAAACATAACTTCTTTTTATAATTGGGTTACTGGTGTGAATGAGCAAGGAAAGCAATTTTAAATTCACTTTCTAGAATTATTTGTGTGCAAGAGAGTTTAAATTCACATTTTAAAAGCATTTGTAACTCAGCTATGTGAGTGATGACAGCAGGTAATGTGGGTGAAGGGAATTCATGTTGAAATCCCAATTAATTTTAGTGGGGAAACTAATCCATTATTTGCCCAGCTCTGTGCCTAATGCATCCACTGGCCATGTTCATGCAAAGACTGTGTGGAGGCTGGAAATGGAGCTTTAGAAAGCTTCAATGACTTAACTAAGATAAAAATCCAGCTTTATATTTCTGAGAGACCTCAAATAAAAAGAAAATTCCGGCAAGTCATAGAAGTACATCCCAGTCATGGAATCATGATACTCCATAGTGAGTTACCATTAGGCCCTGCAAAATCACATTTATTTTCACTTGTTCCTGGGAAGTCTTGGATTTGACAGGGACTAGTCAACATACGGAAGTTGAACCAGTTTAAGTTAAATTAGTTTTACATCTATCTAGATAAATCTTGTGTAGATACGTGTAAGTCTACTTAAATGTGATTTTGTATTGATGACTTAAGAGTATTTACGTAAGACTTAAACTGGATCAGTTTAAATCAATTTAAAAACAGACTTTTAAACACTGGTGCCTTTAATTGCAGCAGCTCCCTACAGAACTGGCTATGTGTTTCAGACAAAAACATAGGGAAGTTATTCAATTAAAAAAATCAAAGTTAGACTAAGTTAAATTTGCCCTAAGCCGAATGAAATCCTTACGGAAAGATTGTTTTGAGGTTCCAATGAATGTGATTAAGTTCTTGTTTTTCGTGGAAAATATAACCTGTGAAGTGTCCACTGTTGTGCTACTGCTGTAGTTTGTTGTTCATATACATTCTGACTTGGGTGAACCAGGTTTAGTTATGATGCATCGGTGGAGGGGAGGGAGCTTTTCTTTCTTTTTGCCGTGAACCACAATCAGAACAAGTTTATCTACCAAAACCCTCTTAGCTTATATGGCTCTGTTTGTTCATGATGCAAGAATCTGTCAGCGGCAAAATGAGATAATTGATGCTAATGCAAAGGAATGCTCTGCTCATGAAGCTCCAGACTGTGTGTTCTCTGTATGGCCTCTCAAGGTTCAGAGAATTAGCATAATAAGAGACCCCCAACTTATGAAAACATGAGTTTCCATTTAAGGTCTAATTATCTAATGAAGGATTTTCTGGAGCAAAATCAGACAGTACTGGATCTTTGATGTGGTAGGTTTAGCGGCAGTTAATCTGTTTTATCTGCTTTTCTTTCTTCTTTTAAGTGAATGCTCCATGTAAGATACCAAATTGACAATGCTTTCTCCACAACATGAATGGGAAGGCCAACTACAGTAGAAACTTCCCCATGCCACTCGGCCTCTATGTGCAAACTAAACTCTGTCAGGATTGAGAGAAGAGAGTTCAGGCTATTCAGTCTTTGGCCTTTCTGGATGGGGACTATTAACAAAGATTCCAATTAGTGCCCATTGTGGCGATGGTTCTTGTGACTTGGATGCAGGTCCACTAGGAATTGAACTGAGGCCAGCTGCCCATTTCACACAGGTCATCAAACTGGCAGCTTGGCCCTGGTTCAGATCCATGTCTGTTGTCAGTACACTTTCCTTATTTTAGGGGAACCCAGCTTACCCTTAGAAGCTACATGGCTGACATGCTGTATTAGAACACTGACAGTATGTTCTAATTTTTTTTCTTTTTAGCTAAACTTAGAAACAACCGAATAGTATGGCTGATGCCAGAGATGTTTTCATTCATCAGTCTGCTGGAAAATACATAGGCCTAGATTAATTCCCCATTGTCCAGCTTCCGCCTGTTTAGCTCCAGGGGACAACTCTTAGGATTTGAAGCTACAGGAAGGGAGATTGCCATGGCTGAGTGTGTCCATATCCTTCCTCCTTCTAAGGAGTTCACAGACAAAGCTAGGACGGGTTGGCCAGTTCTGCCCAAGGATGAGAAGTGGCCAACATGATGTCCTGATTCAACAGCTTTTCTGGAGAGGTTGCTCTGGAGTCCTGCCTGGAACTCATAATTGTTCTTCCCCCACTAGGAAGCCCTGAAGGATGATCTGCAGTGGTAGAGATGTGCCGTTTACACCACCTCTGTTCCTACTGGGGTAAATTTAGCCCAGTGACTTTTTTTTGCCAATGCAGTTTTTAGTTAATAAGGATACCACAAGCAATAGAGTTTCCATCCAGAGCCCATCTCTTGACTCAATAGGAGTATCTTGGAAATGTCATACCATCTAGAAGAAGCTTCATACAATCCATAATATCCTCTACAGGGTGTCCCATTTTTGTTTTTAAAACAGTGGAAAATAATGAAACAAAAATAGACAGACTCTCTGTGCTAGCCTTTTATCAATGTAATAAAACAATCCTCACTAGCTTGTTAATCGAGATCGTTTTGCTCTGCCTGTCTCAGACATGCCAACCTAGACTCTTTAATAATGCAAAAGGCAAGTATGTTTTAAATTAATTTTTTTCAGCAGTTAGTTGGTTAGAGACACAATGCTTGGCACAGCATTACTGGTCACAAGAGCAATAAAAGAGCTCTTCCAGCTTTCTGTCTGAGAGCAGTAAAATTGAGCAACCAGCATTGTTACACTTCTTTTATCCTTACATTTTAGTAATTGGAGAGTCAGTGTCTGTCTGTCTGTCTCTCTCTCATTTGTGAATAAAATGTTTGGGGCTGAATTCAGAACCACTGTAAGCAACCCAGCACACCTGAAGGGCTGTGGGATCAATTTGTCACTGATGTCATTTCACTCCTGGGGTGTAAGCGGAGAACATAGGCTACCTTCCTGTAACTTGCCCCAATGTATTATTCAATGGGTGTGCAACTTTCTTCCATCTATCCTCTGAGAGCATCTCCTGGTAGCAGGAAACACAGCTACCAGGAACCCTCCTAAGAAGGCCTGCTTTACCCCTCAGACATAATTTATGCCAATGACTCAGCTATGCATTTGGCCCATTGATTCTTCACTGAGGTTGGCATGTGAAGGAAGAATGTTTTTGTTTTATTGCAGAAACAAGCGGAGACAAATTGGCAGCGAATAACGTAGGCCATAGTCACAATGTACAGTCAACAGGAGAGGGTCAGAAGAATGTGGTGCGCCATTAACTTTGTTTACATTATTGACATGTATTATAAATTGTCCTGTGACCAGGCAAAGTTCTTACCCAGCTCCAGCAGAGAAAGTGCACGCTCTGCGGTAGGCTCCAAAATGTATCCCCTTTCTTATGGTACATCATTTACTGATAACTGAAATAACAAAACATCAAGCTTTCCTCCCCTGGGCTAGGCATGATTTCTCTACCCCAATTCCTAGTTTCCTCTCCCTGGAGCCACTCCCACCTCCCATAATCCAGTCTGGAGTGAACTAGCCATACCTGCCTGAGAGAGCCAGCAGGAATCAGTGTTTCCATGCAGAATTCCAACACATATGAATGAAGTGAGTCAACATAAGCCCCTGCCACCTATCATCTTCCTTTAATTGATAGTTCCTAATTATTTTATGAAGCAGTGAATGTCATTTATTTGAGTGTTGTGGATTTGACAGACTCCAAGTTAATGGTTGAGGGTCAGATTGTGCTTTACAAAGACCTAATCTCATGGTAGTTGTGTAATGAGTGTAAATAAATGGAGAGAGAGCCAAAGCCAGTCCACAGGTGGAGAAAGTATGCGTGGTTATGTATTGCTTTATACAGGCACCTTGCATTTTCCAAACTCTCATTTCACGATAGCAAATTTTGCACCTCATTTTAAAGGGCACCGATTTTAAACAAACTGCCTGATGCTAAAACAACGTGGCTTATTACCAGGCTCGATTCAACAGGATATTAATGTTCAACAAATCAAGACTACTTAAATGATACCTCACAAGGCATACGTTGTACAAAACACATCATAATCACATCACAATGGTGAATATGGGGGCTCCAGGGTGCTGTTTTGAGATAGTGTCACAATGGTATCTAGTGGCTTAAGAGGTCTGTCTTTTCAAATACGCTGTGCATCTAAAAGTGCCCAATTAATTTTCAGCAAGACAGTTCATTGGCTTTGGGAGGCTAAACTACTCCTACTGTATTGTAGATCCGCTTTAGCCTGCTCTATTCTGAACCATTTTACTGCAACCTCATTTATTTCTACTTAGATCACAATTAGCGACAGCTAAACATCGAATATTTTAGTCCTTCTACAAAAATCCTTGGTCTAGAAATCAGGCAGAAACTTCCCGAAAACAAGCCCTTACTAGATGTCCAGTGAGTCCTAGCTTCTCATTGGTTAAAAATGTACCGTTTTTTTGCTGTGATAGTTTGGTATTTCTGCTTCAATTACTTCATCCATCTCTACCTGGCTTTAAATGCCTTCATGAGAAGCTGAACACTCTTTATAGAAAAGATAATGTATTCTAAATCTATAAGCTTCCATTTGAGACTGGTTACTAATTAACTTCATGAATGGAACAAAATAAACTCTATAGAAACATCCAAAGAAGGAACAGAAAGTTCTACTTTATTTATCTTGTGGTACTTAAGAGGAAGCTTCTGTTTGGAGATAAATAACACACTTATTTTTAGATTTCTAAAATATATTATCAGACAGAGCACATTTCTGTGAGGATACTCTATAGTTCATTAGCTGATTAAGCCTTTTTCAAAGTGCCTCCCAAGAAGCTGTTAAAGATAGTCATAAGGTGACAGGTAGAGAGTGTCGTGGATTGGCCAACAGGCAGAAAACAATGAACAGGAGAAAGTGCCAATATGGCAAAAGGCTAATAGCAGAGTGCTCTAATGTTCCAAGCTAGAACCAATGTTTAACATATGCGTTAATGATCTACAAAAGAAAGGTGAACAGTGAGGTAGCAAAACATGAGGATGACACAGTTACCTGAGTACGTCTGAAGTCTCTTTCAACCGTCTGTAGTCTTGGCTAATCTAACAACGAAAGGGGTGCATGACAGCAGCTGAAGTTCACTGTTGACAAATGCAAAATAATGCACAGTGGAAGGAATAACTTGACCTGCACATAAACGCTGCGACTTCTAACTCAACTGTGACTATGACGGGAAAAGACGTGAGTGTCCTTGTGATCATTTAAATGGACAGAAACCCTCTGTTTAATGCGCAGCTGCAGTCAGAAGAGCAAACAAAATGTTAGGCTGCATAAAGAATGGGATGGGAAATAATACTGAAAATATTATGCCTCCCCTCAAACACGGTGTTGATTCTAGTTGTAAAAGGACACAGTAAGAATAGGGGTGGGAGGAGGGGCTCCGAGATGAGCCAGAAAAACTACATGTGGCATGGAAAGAAATACTGGAAATCTTATGAGAGTTTAGTTAATAGAGGAGATGAATAAGAGGGGACATGGTGGAGGTATTGAAAATAATGAATGGTCTGGAAAAGGTACTTCTTGCAGTTCTCTTGACCCTGTCTCACAATAAGAGAACAAGGGGATGTTCAATTCTGTGAGGCAGAACATGGTGGACAAACTTAAAAGGCCCCCTCCGCTTCAGTAACAGCTCTTTCACTTATAATTTCACTCTGTGGGGAGGCATTATTCAAGTGGTAAAATACTCTTCTTTCCCAGCCTGTCCGTGGCTAAACTTACTATAGAAAAGCAAACAGAACTATTGTGGATACTAGAGGAGATATTTAACAGTCACATACTTTAAAAAGCTGTTTCCCTCCCCAGTTATGCTATTGCTCCACTGTGGAAACAATACAGTATCCTTTACATGAGAGCCTCACTGAGATTGTACATAATACATGTTTATATTTGGTAAGATTTAGAATTGTATAGAACTTGTAATATGCAATTAACTCCTAGTCCTGAAAGTTAAGCATGAGCACTCTCCCATGGGCATAATTACTTTCACACCCCTGAGCGAGTAAGTTATGTTGACTTAAGCGGTAGTGTAGACAAGCCCAGAGAGTGGCTTGGGGGTAAACTTCTGACCTCATTGAAGTTAATGGCAGTACTCCCATTGATTTCAATAGGGACAGGGTTTCATCCCCTGTGAGCAGGGACTGCTTGCTCCCTAATCCTACTGGCAGGCAATTGACCTGAAAGGGGGAAGAGGAATATGACCTAACCCTATTCCCTTTCATGCCAGTCCATGGAGCGAAAAAGTACTATCCCCTCAGTGTGCACAAGAAGCAGCCCTGGGGAAGATTGTCAACAGGGCTGTTCCTGCAGCCAGAGATGTCTGAGAAATAGGGATACCCTAGCAACATACCCCTTTTACCCTGGAAAAACTCCCTGAATCCAAGGCCAGTAAGAGGAGCTGAAGGAGATGCTATAGCAATCCTACAGCACTAGAGGGTTTCCCTATACGGGAACACCTAGCAAGAACGAATCACATGACCCCCATGTTCAGTGGATACTGTTTTATCTGTGGTATATCACCAGTGCCCAGAGATGGTGGTACTAGCCCATTGGGGGGCCTAAGCAGGAATATTTTGCCCCCCCCCCAGCACATAATAATAATTAATAGGGGGCCCCTTGAGCTGCTCGGAGCCCTAAGCAATTGCTTAGTCTGCATATGTCTAGTGCCAGCTCTGGGTGGATATGAGATGGGGGGGCCTGTGAGCTACTACAGAGTGTCTCAGATGTCTGGCTGGTGGGTCTCGCCCACATGCTCAGGGTCTAACTGATTGCCAGATTGGCAGAGAAAATGAGAGGGTTTTTTGCCTTTCTGCAACATGGCGCATGGGTCACTTGCTGGCTTGAACTAAAGTAAATGGTGAATTCGCTCTACATGAAATCTCTAAATCAAGCTTTGAGGACGTCAGTAACTCATCCAGACGTGAGGAGCCTATTGCTGAAGTGGGTAGGTGAGGTTCTGCAGCCTGCAATTTGAAGGAGGTCAGATTAAATAAGCATGATTGGCCCATCTGGCCTTAAAGTCTAAGTCGTGGTTTTCAGAATATGTCTTTTATCTTAAGAGTTTTAAAAATTATGTTGGCTTTTTATTGGAACTCAGTGCCTTAGTTATGAGTTGTGATGTACAGGATTCAGAGCCAGACACTAAAAATGGCCCCAAATAACTTATCTATATGTGAAAAACATCAGTGTTTTTAAAGTACATCATCAAAGCCGGAAGCAAGTACTGACTGTCCCATTGGGAAGCCGAGGCGCCTCACTTTCCAGTGCCATCAAGCACCCATTTCTGGCCCTGCAGGGGCCAGGACAACAGATTCTAAAGTAGTACTATCACTTTTATGTATAGAAAAACTGTAATTAAATCTTGCCCATATTTAAGCCATGGCAGTGGGGGAAGAGGGAATCCCACATTTTGCAGAAAAGGGGGAAATGTTACTCTGTCAGACTGATCCAAAAACCATGCCAGGTGTCCGAAACTGCTCAGCGGTGTAGGTATGTCAGAATAACTTCTTGGGTAAATGAATTAGTGGGCAGAGGGGCAGGTAAAGTGGTCAAAGAAATTTATCATATGGCTCTGGAATTTATTATGTGGTGATCACCTATATATAATTTATATATAGTGCAAAAATATAAAAAGTCTTTATGCATGTGTGTAATATAAAATATACATGTGGCATTTATATAAATGTCACGTAAGTAATAAAACCAGAGGTAACAATTGTGTGTGTGTGTGTGTGTGTGTGTGTGTGTATATATATATATTATTTATACACCTCCTACCCG